TGTATGTATGTATGTACGTATCGTAGTATAGAGGGCGGCCGCCTAGTTGAGTGCTCTAAACGACCTGACGCCGACACCGAATTCCTGAAGCCGCATTGCTCAGGTGAAGCCGAACTGTGACGCCACATTGTCTGACGCCGAATTGTCCCCTGACGCCTAATTGGGTCTCGACGCCGAAGTGTCTCCTGACGCCGCATTGGGTGGTAACGACGAATTGTGAAGCCGCCTTGGGTGGTGACGCCGAATTGCTGACGCCACACTAGCGGGTGACGCCGGATTGCTGACGCTGCATTAGGTGGTGACGCCGGCTTGCTGACGCCGCATTAGGTGGTGACGCCGAACTGCTGACGCCACATTAAGTGGTCGTGACGACGGACTGTGAAGCCACATTACCCGAAGCCCCGCCAAAGCCCGGCCCTCAGCTTGATGTGCGCACGCAGGGGTGCGGCTCTGTTCTGGCAACACACTGACACAGAAACATTATATAGTCGGGCAGAAATGTGTCGGCTCACAGGCCGGTGCTGAGGGCTATATACGGCTATATAGATGTCGGGGGTTGACGGCCAGAGCCGGATGCGTGCAAAACGAACCAGAACGAGACCTGCACGGGCTGAGAGTCTTCAAGGCCGCTGCCGATCATTCACTGGAAGGTCTACACAGCCTTTGTAATGGCTGTGAGCGATCAGCACCCTATTGGAAGACTTTGGGTATGGAGACAGTCAGGTGCTCGATTGCGGTTGAATTCACGTTTATCCTCAGATTGTGCCACCTGGCTTCGGGGCTGGCTCTGACAGTTTTACATGTAGGTGTTCCATGGGTGTTCATGCTTTGTATCGGAATCTATATACCAGGTGTTCTACATTGAAGTGCCTGATAATCAAGTTCGGCCCTAAACCCTGATCTGGCTAAGTGCTCGATCAACAAATTTTGTCAAATCCAGGTTTATAGGAATGCAGATTGAAGGTTGACTTGCCAGGGGCATCAAAGACCGCAGAGACCCTGAGACCTTCAGGGCCCAACACAGCAAATCATTGGCATTGTAAGACCGGCAACAATCAGACGCCTCAAGTCCTACGAAGCCAGCACCAAGAGGCAGCAGAGCATTTACGTCCGAAGACCCTGAACCCTCCAGACCCTCCGACTCTTGGAGCAAACGGAACACTGTAAGAAACCCACCTCAACATTCAAGGTGATGCGGCTTCGAACCTGTTGGCCTTTTAGTTGGGCGTTTCCAAAGCAAATGGACGATGCCGGTACACTAGCTAGAACTTCCAAACCCGCCACCACCCCAAGACACCGCCTAGGGTTCGTAGCAACCAAGCAAAGGCTTTAGTTCACGACAACAGCTCACGCAGACCCTCACTCTTTTTAGCGGTGTGGCGAAGGTTCCCTGTCGCCCGGAGAAAGTCTCTAGCCTGGAACCGCGTCCAAGGCTAGCCAAGATTTGCCCCCCCCTCGGGGGCTCTTTAGCACAATGGCCACGGACATAGCATGTTCGTCCTCAGCCATGTAAACCCCAATAGCTCGAATGATTCGAACTAGCGGAAACACCTGCGATGTTTCCTGGCAAACACCTTCGATGTTTAACTAGCCGAAACACCTTCGATGTTTCACTGTTAGAAGTTTAGCGCTAGCATACACGGTCGTACACTCGTGCCTCGGCACGAATGCGAAATGATGCGAAATGAACATCACCGAAACCGTGCTAGGCGAGGCTTCGGCAGTCCATGTCGATGGTGTCGGCCTCCCATGTCGAGAATATCCGATTTCGATAGTACGGGTTTCTGGATGAATTCGCGTAGGAGTTTCTGCTTGAGCTTTGGGGTCACCGTGGTTTTGCGTTAGCCTAAACATATTTGGATACAACGCGGAAAAAAGTACTTGTGTTTTACCAAGTATATTTACGTACTACTGATACCATGTAATCCTTGAAGTGTAGACTGGACTCCGAGTAGCTGGAGTATCTTTTGAGGATACTCATGTTTGGGACTCGCACCGAAATGACCTTTAGGACATGTTAATGACATATAAAATTCAACATGTTCAGCTTTCTGCGCAAACACGTTGTGTTTCTAAACCACCTTAAACTCCTCGAAACCTGTGCTATGTTCGTGCTGGCGCTGTTGAGCCTTGGGGCTTGCCGTTGGGCTTTGCCGCCGGTTGCATGGAACGTCGTGAAAGAACAGGACTTATAGGTGCATTGAAAAAACTTCGGTGTGGGAACTGATTCGAGCTATAATAAGCCGCAAAAAACTTGTTTCTAGTTAAAGAACGACTTTCCTAAGTTGATCCGTCCCTTCAAGTTATACCACGCACGTTTTTCAATGCAAGTAAGCGTTTCGCCACAGTGGCAGCGCAATTTTGTTTTCAGAGCTTGATTTGCGAAAATGTGTGGCATTTCCTGTGATTCCGTGTGTCCCTTTTGGGGGTCTTGCTTCGAGTGTGGTCGAAAAGGCCCAAAACACCGCGCACAGCGAAGTTTTCCAGATAACATTGCGCAAAAACATGGTTTCGCAGCGTACCCCAAAATTTGTGTTTGTTCCCCACCCTCGGTGTGGGGTTGTTAGACTTTAAAGGCAGCTATTACTCCTCGCCCGCTGAGACTGCCTCCTGGAGTGCCCAACCCCACAGACTACCGTGAGACTCCCTGGAGTGCCCGACCCCACAGACTACGGTGAGAGTGCCCAACCCCACAGACTCCCGTGAGACTCCCTGGAGTGCCCAACGCCACAGACTGTTGTGGGACTCCCTGGACTGCCCAACCCCACCGACTACCGTGAGACTCCCTGGAGTGCCCAACCCTGCAGACTACCGTGAGACTCCCTGCAGTGCCCAATCGCACAGACTAGCGTGAGACTCCCTGAAGTGCCCAACCCCGCAGACTACCGTGAGACTCCCTGAGGTGCCCAGTCTGGCAAGCGGGAATAATTTTCGAGTGCCTGGTCTTGCCATTCAACGAAGATCTGTTTGCGGGTGGACACTAGGTCACAGAGTGCGGCAGAGCGAGGGCTTCATTCAGGAGCTCGTGAATCGCTGGCAGGCACTCCACAATGTAACGTACGTCCCCGGAGACGGTTCCATCCACCACGATGGCATGTGGATGGTGGCGGATGAGTCGTATCTATGCGAGACTCATCATGAGTCTCGCATAAATCAACTGCTCGACGGGTCGTTCTGTGCAGCACCCAATCTACTGGCTGGCAGCCTGCGCGACTGTACGTACTCGGACAACCCCCGTTTCAGGTTCCTGCACATTCGGCGATCGAAGGCGAAAGGCGACTTCCCGATCTTCACCAGTTTGCCCAGCAGGAACATGACATGCGGCATGACATGTGCCACACCAAAGTGCTTCGCATCATGCGACTCGGCGAAGCTCTGGCATACGTAGTAATACGTAGTGCATCGTAGTGCAATGCCAAGGGTGCGTGCCGGACCAAGCGTAGAGGCTGCCAGAGCACGGCAAGAAGGCCTCGGTGTGGGACACGTGGAGCACGCGACCTGAGGCTCTTCTTCCTCCTCCCCGGCAGTCGTGACCCGAGGCTCTTCTTCCTCCTCCTCTGCGGCCGCATCGGTCACACCGGTCTTCATAGTAACAGCCGCACCAAGATCGCTCACGGGCGAGGCTGGCAAGGCTAGAAGAGCTTGCCGCCGCGCAACCGTGTCCAGAAAGTCCTCATAGGCATCTATCTTTATCTGATTCTCCGTCAGCTCGCGGGCATGCTCCGAGGACTCCAAGCCGTCACCGGTGCCTCCCAGCACCTGGATGCGGAGGCCTCGATGGATGCGTTGCATCACGAGGCGCTGCTCTTTCTCCTCCCGTGTAGCTGGCCCTGCTGGGGCCTAACGGAGGTTCTTTGCCACGCAGTTCCGCCTGCATGGCTTCAGGCAGGCCCCTTGCCCACCGAACAAAAGCAAGGCTAGAGCCTGCAGTGGCCCCGAGGTTCCTGCGCAACTTTAGACATGTGGCGTGCGATGACGCTCGACTGCGGGCCATGTGTCGGATCGCATGGCTCAACCTAGATTGCAGCAGAGACTGTAGTGTTCCGCTGAGGAGCCAGTTCGTGGATGGCAAGGAAGAGGGAGTGGTTCGCCGTCGCACCAACGACCTCAGTGTCCAACATTATTCAGTGAACATGGATGTGCAGAAACGAACCGTCATCCGTGGTCGGTACGTAGAGCGCGAGAAGCAAGGCAGGGAGCCTCCACTCAAGTGTCAGCCTCCATTTTCGGGAGCTTCGGGCACAAAGCCAGGTTCGCACATGTGTGCTCCCAGCAACACGAAACACCCATGCTGACGGGGCCCTGACCATGCCATGAAGATTTGAAGTGCTACCTTCGACGTCGAGGATGACAAATTAATACATGAGTCTGCGAATTTCGCAGCCAGCGAGGCATCAGCGTGAATTGCAACCTTTTCCGTTTGTACTGGGCAATACTGGGCACAGCAGTCAAGTACATCAGGCTGCAGCTTTGGCATGGAGCTGATAAGATCTGCGCTGAAAATTGGGCAGAAAATTGCAAGGCGTGATGTCGTCCGCACAAAGCCGATTGCAACAATTCGGCCAAGGACCTTGCCGGACATGCACCGCACAACGAGAAGCGAAGATGAAGCAGGGGCCGCTCAGATGCTCGGTCTTGTTAAACGACGTTGTCCATGTGGAATCATCGGAGAGATCCGAAGAACGACGAAATTGCATCCTCGCGAAAAGCAGTCTTTGCGCACCCGTGCTACTGTTTGGTCAACACTGTGCATCGAGACTCAGCCTTCCGGCGGCTTAAAACATTGCGACACATTGCAACTGACATTCTGTCGACGTTCTCTTCTTCTGCTTCTATCTGCTTCAATGCTTCGGCGTCTCTCCACCCTTCCCCAAGCCGACACCGCAGAAGCCGCGTCGAACCGATCCACTAACTGGATCGAAGAACCGGGAGTTTCGAGACACAGTTTCCCCTCATCCGACAATCGTTCCCACTACAGCCTGCCATTCGTCACTGCAGTGCTCTGTTGCCGCTGCCGTGCAAACGTACCATCTGCGAAATCAGATGTAACATGAAAGAAGAAGCACAAGTCAGCTCCCGTCTCCTCGCTCGGAAGGGCACCAGCAGCTTGCAACTTGGCCGTCAGCTCACCCGACTCGTAAAGTGGAACCAGCCCAGGTCCTGCGAGATATGCGGCCGGAAGTTGACATTGTCCGATTTTCGAAACCTCTCTCCTTCCATCAGGCCGCCAACACTCTCGCCGCCGATGAAAATGTGTGGCATGCTCGTTCCTAGAGTGGGAGGAGGATGGATGGAGGCGGGGCTCACTGAAGGATCCTCATGCTTTTGCAGGTGCGGCCGGGGCTCTTCCATACATGGCACCCAGCTCTGCGCGTTTGGCTGCACTCTCTCCCAGCATGAGGAACCATTCGGGTGCCAGTTGGATTTCTTTGTACTGAGCCCCCAGTGAATCCAGGAGCTTCGTTGCTTCTGTGCAGAAGGGTGAGAGGCCGTAGGTGTAGACCACGACCGGGGCAGACTTCACATCCTCCGAGATCTTGGCTCGGATCTCTTCCTCGTCATAGCCCAGAGCCTGAAGTTTAGCTTCGGCGGCGAAAATGGGCTTCAGCAGGCCCATGCCAAGACTTGCAACTTTGAGTGGAGCCAGCAGCGGTGAAGTCGCGCTCTCCGTGGCCACTGCGATCTCTTCGGATCCTGCTCGACGAGTGAGCTGTGACGAAGGCTTGGCCTTTGGGCTCGGAGCCACGAAGACACTGGCGGGCAGCAGCAAAGCTCCCCAGCAGAATGCCACGACTGCAAGACAACGAAGGGGCCGACGTAGCTGTGCTCGGGACAGCTTCTCCATGGCGCAAACCAACAGAAGTCAATAAGTGGACAACAAGAATTGCCACTTCTTGCGCCAAGCGGCTTCATTAGCTGTCACTAGCTCTAGGTTTGCCAGCGATTCTGGACAAGAGCGAGGCACCGCAACAGTCGAGAAAGGAGGGCGCTCTGCTGAGAACTTGACCGTTGCTGCCACAATATACTTCGTTCGCCACTCGGGCCCCATCAGACCTGCTGACATCAGCATGTTGGAGTTGTCGTCATGCTATTCAGTTTGCTTTCCTTGGCCTCGGGCTTTTGATTTCGGGATGCTGCTTCAGAATCTCCGCCCTTGGAAGACGACGCTGTTAGAAAGCAAACATCTTGTGAAACATGCTAAGTGCTGCAGCCTTCTGGTCACATGGGGCTCGTCAGTGGTGCTGAAAAAGTAGTCCCTGACGGCACGCACTTCGCCCGCATTCCCGGGCATTCGCTCTCGCCGGCCTCCGTGGCCCCTCCATTTGGATGTGCCTGTCCCGCCGTCCCGCCTTGAACGTGCCCGAATTGGCTCAAGGCCAGGGCTTATGAGGGCAACCTTGAGCCGAAATCGGGGAAACGAGAATGCTTTCGCCCTGCGAGGCCCCTGTCGGATGTCGCGTCACAGCAGCTGCTGTCAAGTTGATGCAAGGAAGCTGAGCCTCGTGCAAGGAACTCGGTCGCATCGACTTAGACTGTGAAATCGTCGCAGCGTCTTTGGCTGCAAGCTTGTCTGACTTTGACTTCTCCGATTCCTTGGTCTCCTGGAAAACAGGGACACAAGCAGAGGAGTTCTGCAACATGCCACAGGCTGCCACAGATGTCGAGGCGACCCCCGAGAACTCCTGTGCCGATGAAGCTCTGCCATGGGCGCCTTCCTGCTCAGCATCTCAGCTAATTACGAGTACCATGTGAACTACGAGTACCGCGTGTTACGACGAAGGTCGCTTGTCTGAAAATTCCTGTTCACATTCCTTCATTCCTTCATGCCCGAGGCTGCGAGATGCATCATGCTCAGAGCTTCGTCCTTGCCTTGCCAAGGACCTCAGCAGCCTCAATCGGCACAGCTCATCGAACCGCCACGGCATGCTCGAGAAACTGCGAGACCGGTGCTGGTCGCAGCTGAACCATCTGCGGTCCGTCAGCCCGAGCAAAGACCTCTGCAGACAAGCACTCGGTCGATCGACGGGCGTCGCCGGAACGCCTTGACCGTCTTCATCCGGCTCAGTGCCTTCCAAGACGATACCAAAAAGATACAGGATGATAAGGTTGCACATGGGGCACCTGCTGCAACGCCGGTCTGCCGAATTGCAATCCTCGTGCGAGTTCCAGGGTCAGCAGAAAAAGCCAAAAAAGTGCAAACAGGACTTTGGTCAACTGTACTGTCTCTCCAAGTCCAACTGCATTGCATCCAAGTAGCTCGCAACCGCCTGAGATCTCTACTTCTTGAGAGCGGGGATGGGGAGTGTTGGCTCGTCGTCTGTGGCACACTGCACATAGAAGCCATGTGTGTTGCAACACTTTGGACCTCACTTAAAGCTCTAGGAAACCACTGACAACATCTCCCATTCTCAAGTTTCGAAGAGCAAGTGCAAGCAGAGCAGTCAACGAACTCTCGAGGACAAGTTCAGGTTGCTCGTCTTTCGCGACACAGGGTGGATCTGCAACACACTTGGGTCTCGGGGCTCGCAGGCCATTGTCGCAGGCCAAACGCAACAAAATCAGTCTCAGTGGGACCGTAGATGTTCCTGTCGTTAGCGCCGTGCAATGAAGAACATTGGCGCGCTGACTTGTGGTCCTGAAGCATGCTGAAATACATCAACTATCCGGACATGTTCTTGTTGAGCCTCGCCGGGCAATGATGGCAGGCTCTGCGAAACATCTGGCGGTGGCGTGTCATGACAGGCCGAGTCGCTGGGACTTGCTGCAGGTCTTCCAGGCTGAGACCTCCGTCCAACAACACAACAAGCCTGCGCAGCCCACCTAGGATCGAATCTTCTGGGCAGGGACACCTCCTCCATCGGGGAAGTTTCGCTGCCTAGGAGAGTTTCCGCGAAACTGCGCCGGGACGATTCGATGCCGCTGCTTGAAGTGGCTTGTGTTGCTGTGATTGAGCTCCGATGCAAGATCGCCAGCGTCTCGAAAACAGCCAGTGACAACTGTGCGAGATGGGACCGTATGCTACAAGCAAGTCGTTGCTCTTCATGGCAATCTCGGCAGGCCGTACCTCCTGCTTTCTTTCTTCCAATGTCATGTGGAGTCCATCTGCTGGGCCACTCGCCTGTTGGATGCCATGCGAATACAAGAAACACCTTGCACAACAGCACATAACAGGACCTTGCTACCAGCTGCTACCATGCAAGTGCAAGCCCTTGGAGGTGCCGTGACCATCTGCAACAGCATGTCGGATCTCTCATTGACCTAAGGCTTGGTTTGTCTCCAGTGGGCACGATGTGACTGCAAAGCATGCGCACACAACTCTAGTCCGGCATGTGGCATGCGCGCTAGCCTTGAGTGCAGCCCCTGCCACAAGCTTGATGTGCTGAAAGGACATGATGTCTTGTCCATTCTTGGAAATACCTTCTCGTTGCCCTGATTTATGCACTCTGCAGTAAGCTCAAGCTTGAAGTTGAGCTGTGTCTCGACCTCACGGATAACAGCAGTCGGCTGGGTTCAACGTCAAATTTGTAGGTTGCGGTATTGCGAATCTCCAAAGAGCTGTGCACGCGATGTGAGTTGGTTGCCAAACAGCAATCCTCCCACGAGGATTGCCATGGGGACGTCAGTCGCCGGAGAGCGACAAGCTGGGACATCAAGGTCGTTCGCACCGTTCACCCCGCGGTGTCAAAAAGGATGGTGAGCACCCTGCCTGCATCTACTTCCTGCTGCAGCTGCACGGCTGGTTGAAGTTTGTTGATGGAGTTGTGTCCCACCTCTGTGCATCCTTTCTCGCAGTGGGCCACCTTTATTGTTCTCACGAACTGCCGCCCATGATTCCAAGGAGGGTTTGCCTCGACTGACCTCTTTTTGATCGTTTGCTCTCTTCCATGCTCGATCATGGAACAAATCAATGTGATGTTGACCAAGAGGAGTCCAGATCAGTTTTGGAACTCTAGTTTTTGCTTGTATCATCTTGTATCTGTGCGTTCACGAGCAGACTTGCACGGAGGAAGGTGATCGCTCGTATACGCAAATGTCTGAGATGGGCTATTTGCATGAACGTTCCAAGGTCTTCAGGAACAGCTTTTATTGTTTCAGGCTCGAGTCTCGCGGTGCTTGCATTCCAACACGGGACATATCGGGACATGTTTCTGTTTCTCTGCTCGTCAACTGCGGTACGTACTCCGAGTACGCACATCGCGCTTGGTCTCAAGTAAACGTGGCTACGAAAGCACGCAAGACGGAAGCAGGAAACTCGCTGTGCTACGCCAGAAGCAAGCACAAACAGGTGCCCTTGGAAATCTAATTATACGGTTATACGGTACTCCTGCCACTGTCAGGTTGTATCTCCGAGCCATTTATGACAGCTCTGTGGCATGTGATTCTAGTTCCAGGATAGACAACTTCGGCATGCGAGGGGGGAATCAACCCACAAGCGGTAGGCACCGCGTCCAACACATTCCTTTGACTGAAGATCGTAAAATCCTTTGCCGACCCTACCAGAGTGCACCGGGTTGCTCTTTTGGAACTGATACAAGGCAACCGCCGCAAGCACCCTGAAGAGCTGGATTTCTTCACAACAGCTGTATTCGTGATGAAGGAAATCACAGACAAATAATGGATGAGTGGAAAGAGGGTTGGACAGATAGATGGTTAGATAGACGGATAGATTCATAGTGAAGACTCTAAGACAGACAGGTTTTTCAGCTTATAGTACTCCACACATGTACGTGATATGCATGATGTACTTGCGTGTACGTGTGTGCCGTGTAGATTTAGCAGGTATACGACAAAATGCATACCGAGGCATGTATATACACTCTGATCATTTACAGCCAGCCCGCCAGGCCGGCCAGCAAAGAACCAGAGAGACTGGTGAGCCCACGAGAGCTCCCTCCCGGGCTTCCGGCCATGGTGATCTCAGCACCGTCACCACCGCGGTCACCACAACGCAAAGACAGCCACTCCCACAAGGCCAGCCCTCGGGGAAGCTTGCACCGTGCCCTGCGTCAACAAACGAGTAACATGCAAGTGGAGATGCTAGCCTAGGTCTCTTCTACAAATGGCCCTGAGACCCCATATGAGGCGCGGGGTGACAGCAAGCAAGCAGGAAACAACAGCTGATGATGCATGTGTAACACTTTCTGGCTCTCATCGTCTCGGCACGAAACTTCTTACGATGCGGCCAGCCTCCGAATGACTGGATCCTCGAGCAACTCCGACCTGCAATCAGGTTGCGACATGTTGCGACTGCGGCTTCCCGAGTGGGTTGAAGCTAGGCGTTCACACTGCCACAACTCAGGGGCCGACAGTGAGATCCAGCTTTGACTTGCGTGCCGAGCCTGCTTCACTCTCATTATGACAGAGTCAATGGGCACCATGAGATACCAACAACCAGGGCCTGGAATCAGCCGTTTAGTTTGGCAGGTTTGCTCTCGGCTTCACTATCTGATTTTGAAGAGCATGCCTGCTCAGGTCTGATAGTGTGCCGCATAGCCTTTGTTTGGCAGAGCCTCCGTAATGATGGGCCACCCATCATGTTCCACCCCTTGAATCCTGCAGAAGCCGTGGTAAAAAGGAAGCCACGATCCTACGGTCTCAAGCAACTTCTCAACCTGTCGAGGCCTGTCTTGGGCTCATGGAGGCCTTAGGAGTTCTCTGACTCTCTCCCCGGACTCCCAACCTTGGGAGTGAGAGTTTATTTCGCAAAGAGTGTGGCGCCAGTTGTATCTCATACCGGCAGCGAAGCTGTAGCGAAGCACCTTCGCTAATGTTTTGAGCCCGTCCAGACAGAATCCCCCGTAGCAAGACGATTGCCACGCCTACTGATCACATGGAATTTTCGGGTTCATTTCCGGCGACAGTTGAATCTCGACCAGCAAATGGCTGCACGACCTGTTGCAGGTTACCGGCAGGTGTCGTGCATGCATGGAAATCATGTAGCATCCATCTGATCTAGGCGTGTGCTCCTGCTCCGACACAACAATGCCGGCTACCTCACTAAAAACAGTATTTTAACTATGTATCTGCAATTTGTGTTCCGACCAGTTTCGCCAAGATAGGAGGCGCCGCAGGCAGCACTTGCTGTCCACTCGATGTTGCATTGGCTCGCTGTGAAAATTAGATCTCAAAGCTATTTCGAGGTGCGCAATTTCAGCTTTCGCGGTTCGGGGTCGGGAAAGCTCAGGACGCGGGCAGAGGTGCTCAAGAGTTTCTCATCATCGATTCTGCTCTCGTTCCTGCAAGCGCACAGTTGATCGACCGGAAAGTTAGACGCCAGCCAGTAAGCCACCAGTCTCCCTGCCGTGCTTGCTTCAGTGTTTGGAGGGTGATGACGTGTCAACCACACACCACAGTGTATCATCATAACTTAACTGCACAGATTTCGTGTTTGATGAGTTCCCTCGCGCCTCGCCTTCAGTACTCGCTGAATGTCTTGCAGGAGGTTCTTCCTAGTGCGCAACCCACTCTGCAAGATATGCCCTACCGTAAGAAGTTTTAGGCTTCATACTCAAACTGCGTCATAGGTGGAAGATCCTTTCTGCTCCTGCAGGTCGAGCCACGACACTGCTGTCCAGGTTGACTATAGAAACCTGCTTCTGTAAAGAAAGCTCGTCGCAATTGCTGCGGTCCTCTTGGCAGCCCGAGTTCGCGGCACGTAAGGTATGAAGGAGTTCCTGCTCAAACACAGTGCTGCCAGCCAAGATATCCTCTTCCTCGAATGATGCATGTCGCGTGCGATGCATGCGCACACTTAGGGTTGCAGAGGAATCGACAAATCTCAATGTGCTGCTGCATTTAGATGTGACAGAGCTTGCAGCATGTTCCAGCCGTTCAACTGGGTGCATAGACTTTCGAAGAAAACACCAACCATGTGCTACAGTGGCTGAAATGACCTCAGACTCACAAAGCTCGCCTTGTGTCATGTAGTATGTCCTACTGTACCGTGTTTCTCCTACGCACGATGCTCCGCGACGTGATCGATTCTTGATGAAAGGGGTCCTCTGTGCTGCCATCCTCAGCTCCTGCATGAACAAACCAGCACCGCTCACACTCCAGACATCTGAAGGCACCATGCTGCGAAGCTGGCCAGTCTCTGCCTCTCTCTCTCTCTTCCTATGTTTGCAGGCCTCTCTTTTTGCCAAGAAGTCTTCGAAGGTGTTCCGAAACTTTTCCTCCCAGGTGAGGGCCAGAAAAATGCAAGGGCGGCAATGTATCATAGAGTGGCAGATTGTGATGATGATGAATCAAGCTTTATCAGCAAATCCCCTTTTCTTCCACATCTCCGTCTCCTAAATACGGGGTAGCCAATGGGCCATAAAATGGCTCCAAGAACGCATGGATTGTCAGTCAATTGCGTCGGAAATGGCACTTGCCCAAGTTACAGACTGAGCAGACTGAGCAAACATACCTTTCAGTTAGGCACAAGGCACAGCCTCTTGGTTGTGGTGCCGACACGTGGGGTTAACGTCAAAGTTTACATCAGACTTCAACAATCTCTGAAACGCTGAGATCAAGTATGGGGATTGAGCTGTTACATAATTCGTTGACGAACTGTTCCAAGGGCTTCCTGTTGGAGTCGAGCGCGGTGGCTAGTCTGTCACTGCCTGTCCTCGTTGTCGAAGTCGAGGCCAGCTTGCAAGACCTCTCGTATGACTCGTATGCTTGAGTCGAACTTAAATAAGGGCGTTTTGACAACCCTGAGAAAATGACCGCGTCACCAAGTGCGAAATAGCGGTCCTGTCGTGTGTAAACGATTGCAAACGCTGTTAATAATTGGCACTCCTACTCAAGCATGTAAGCAAACTAGGCCTCCAGATATGCCATCTGTAAGCTGGGCCCTTCAAGCAAATGGCATGCCTGACTCAATGCAGGGTCGGAGCTGCTCAGCACAGTCGGGGGCATCGCCTGCTTCGCAGTAAGTCGCACAAGATCTTTCAGACGGTCTCCATCTGCTGACCTGGCAAAGGATCTCTGCCGTGAGCTGCCTGGGCTCCCATCCACATCCAATCATATCCAATCCAAAGCCGGTTCACGGGGAAATTGCGAAACCGGTAAGTGCCTGCACTCCGTGCCACGTAGAAGCAGCAAGATCGCGAGCACTTGTAAGGCACAGGTGCTACCAGAACATGTCTCTGTCTACAGTAACTCAAGAAAGCATCGGGCTCACCGGCCTGCTTGTGAAGCTGTGTGTTTAGAAGTTGCTCGACCGTCCCCAAGCGCAGCTCCCCACCAGCACCAGCCAACATTTTTTCAATCTTGCGCTGCTGATCCTGATCTAACGAAGCAGCAAAGGACGGTGACAGCAGCAAACAACTCGTGCCAAGGACGGCACCAAGGCCGCGTCAGGGATCACGGGAAGCCTCATGCTGTCTAGAAATGTCCGTGGATCAAGCAGCCACTATTGCGAAATATTGCGAACTCTATTCATTCAGGTGGCATCATGCATTTGTGTCCGGTGTCTCTTGTGCTTCCCTCTTTTATCGTTCTTCCATTCGCCCAAGGCATCTCAAATTTGCTCTCCTGCCGAGCTTGTATATGCATACGTGACCTTCTAGCAAGTTGACGGGACAGAACGGGAAAAGAGACTTGAGGACATGATACGTACCAGATCTGCAGGCTCCGGACTCTGCACTAAAACTACTGTGACTCTTGTTCTTAATCAATTACGTGCACAAGGCGAGTCAGCACGTTACGGATGGGGCCCAGGCTGTGACATTCATGGAATTTCTTTTCCACATTCCGGCATGTCAGCCGCGGAGACAGAGACCCCTCTCCGTAATGAAGACGAAAACGACATAATGGCCAAAGCTAAAGGCCATGACAGCATGCATGTCAAGAGGTCGGCGCAAAAACGGGGTCGCGAGAACGCAAAAGCGGCACAGACATGAGATCTGGGTGTCCAGCATTTCCGCATCCTGCAAGTACAGGGCTTGTCCCGAGAAGCGAAAACGCGGGAAGATCCGCAATTGGAGAAGAGGAAAAAGAGGATCTTAGAGGCCTCTGAGTTCGCCAGTCTTTCAGTCGACTCGACCTCCGCCTCAAAGGAGCGGCAGCAGCAGTCGAGTTTCACCGTTTTTCACTCGTCTCTTCTGCATAGGTTGATGCCATAGCTTTTTGATTCCCCGTACTTCGGAAACGATTTCAGACGGGCGCTGCCAGCTCATTGGGAAGTGCGTGCGCCGCTGATACAAACTCGTCCGATAGGGCAATGCCCGGCCGGCACCTGCCTCTGGGAAAAATCAAGAAAACTCGGGAAAGTTTCTACAGTCTGCTAGCTCGAGTCTTGACCTGAAAGATGACGGGCAAAGGATGGCAAAGGGCACAAGCTGCTGCTTCCATACAGCCCTGTACTTGTGCATAGTCTTTGGCGTTCGTGCGTTTGCTTGAAGTGCCTTTCGGAAAGGCTTGATTGAAAAAATGCACACGAATTAAGGAGAACTGCCTGGCTAAAGCCAAAAAGTTGCTTATTCTGCACGAGACGAAAAGGCTTGGGCAAGCCTGCGTAGACTTGCCAAGCAAAGGTTCTTTGTTACGGAACAGAGCTCCCACGCTCCGAGCCTGCAGGTCAGCCATGGCCAGCCTTTAGGCTCGCTCTCAGACCGTCTCAGCGCCAAAGCCTGCTCGGGAACTTTCAACTTCAGCCATGTCCCCACCTCTTGCATGCCACACCTGTTTAAAACTTGGATCGACTGCCACACAGACTCGGATGCACTTTTCTTGTGCAGATGCAAGGCAAGTTGGGTTGAGGCACACGTGCTGCAACTTAGCATAATATCTGAAGACAGGGGCTCCTGGAATGAAGCTTGTAAGGTGTGTTCGTCATACAATTCATTGCGAGGACAAACCAGAAACCCACCGAACAACATCGTCGCTCATATATCTGGACAATCCAAAGCTTAATGGTTGGGAGGCGGGAGGAAAGTTAGGCATGAACTTCCACGGCCCAGGATCCGCACGCGATTCGTGGAGGAGGAACTCTTCTGCTGCCATTCGGACGAAGGTTCAGAAAATGTCGAGCTCCGCCTTCAGAGACAGGCGCGTCGCGCGCGTCGCGTGAGAAGAACCGACGGCTTCGAGGGCGACTCGGGCGACCTGGCAAAGCCCTAAGCTTCGGTTGGAGATGTTGGAGGCCCAGACGTCGAAGTGGCCTCGGAGGCATGGAATGCACGGAGTGTCCGGAAAGCGACTCGAGCCCCAGCCCGGGCCGCTGACTGGATGCCGTGGAGTGGAGCGGCGCCCCCCACGAGCAGACCACCGCCAAGTAGCCTTCTTTTCTCTCTGCACGCCACTAGTCCACTCGCTCCTTTGACTCTGAGTCGCACACCATTTGCCCCCCCGTTTGCCCTTAGCGAGTGCAGGGGCTGTCACGTCGGCCAAACTTCTGATCGTCTCCATTCCTATGCGAAAGTCCAACTGAGCTCTTGGGCTTTATCCTGCCTCTTGGCCTTCTGCTTGCAGGGCGCGGCAGACGAGGCCTCCCGATAGGACGAAGATCACGCATAATTGCCGATATCGTTTTGCATCCACTGATATTGTGCAAGCTCAGCGGGCACCAACACTAAGCATCGTACGACGCCACTTCTTCCGCCACTTGTCGCCTTTGTCGCCACCTACACCATCAAAGCTAGGCTAGATTCGGTGGATCGTGTTGTGCGTGCTGCAATTGCCAGACGAACAGAAGCGCGCGGAGAGTCATTTTTGTCAGCAGGCATCTGCAACATCTGCAAAGTCGAACGGACCAAAGCCTGTCAAGGCCTCGAGATGCCGAAGATTCAAGAGCCTGCAGCCTAAAGCAGTGTGTCTGCGTAATCTCTGCTTCGCAGCTTTCAGCTGGTAAGCACCATCATGTGCTGTCACCAGCACAACGATGGACTTCCAGGACACTTCCTCGAGTATTGCGAACATACCTTCACCGACAACGGTCTGACAAAGACCTGAGGCCCTGGCGCGGCAGAACAGATGTCGGCAGAAGCAGTATTGATCTTCTCAACATCGCACCTCGGTGCTGACAAGGAGATAACGGATGGCACTAGCAGCTCTGATCATCCTATAGGCCTCCTCACGCAATATGCGACTCAGCTGCGCAGCAGGCTTTATCTCCTCGTTCCATCTGCATCTGAAACCAACTCCTGCAGTCTGACAAACAAGAGCTGCTACTGCTTCTGGTGAAACTTGCAAGTCCTCTGTGGATGATGTAGGATGCTTGACACGAGCCGGCATTCGCCATCGAGCAGTGTGGCACCTCAAAGTGGTCAAGACTGAAATGAGACAGCGGATCTCGAGTCAACGCACACACATCGCGAAAAATTCAAGCGCGGCATGGCCACCAGACGCAGTGTAGAGCAGTCTAGACTGCCCCCTCTGCCTTCGAAAGGTCGGATCCTTGTTGGCCCAACAAGGAAAACATGGGCACAGAAACTCAGAGCGGAGTGCAAACGGCGATATTCCAAAAAGGGCTTCGTTGGCATCTCCGGCAGATACTAACTCCGTCGCCAAGCTTCATGCTCTTCGTGACACCTGGAGTTTTCACGGTCAGGTTGAAGCCGCTTTGAAGCACGGAGTCATGTGCCTGCAAAGTGCATACGACATGATACGAAGATCCACTGACGGTGAGTGCTTCGAGCGCCGGCTCTGAACCACAACTGGAGAGCCCTTAGGTACTGACATCGCCGCTTGAATCAGAGACAGTTTGCACTAACTTTGCCAACAGCCGATTTAACATCTCGCGCGTGCTTGTGAAATTGCATCAGTCTCCTCTCAACGCCTTGAGTTGCTGATCTAGGAGTCACTCAATTTTGTCAACCAATGAAACCAAGCTAGCTTCTGCGTGGCAAGTGGCACCAGCTGATCCTTGGAGTGTCGCAGCTCACTTCGCTTTGTGCCGGCAAACGCACTGCGCGTTTTGCTGGCACGACACGGTAACACAGCAGGAAAACGCCCAGCTGAGAGAAGGAGAAATGCGCCTCGCCAAAGCCAACCTCAGGCTGCCGAGACTCTTCGTGAAAAATCGCGGGTTTCGAACAAATCCAATCAGCACATACGTACGAGTGCAAGCGTCCCTAGGCCCTACATTGAAGGCACCGCGGCACCACCATTGGGTTTTCTTAGCTTGAGCGGTTGCCAGCCTCAGAAGTTAAATGCAGACGAGGAACATCTTTGTCCGGTCTTACCGAGTCGCAGGTAGTGTCTTTGCTGACGAAGATTGCCTCCCGTGCTAGCCGCTTGCGACTCGTTCGCCAGTATGCCAGTTCAGTACTTCAGGCATTGTCTTTTGGCGTCTCCCGGCTATTCCCCATTTGCGCTCGAGATCCCCAAAAGCAGCAAGTTACGTCCCCTCTGAAGCTCACTGACAGTGTATTCGGACTCGTTGTATGACCATCCTTCGTGTGCAATCGTTTCCTGGCTGCAAACTCCGGGGCCGACAAACAGTCGTATGCGGCGTATGCGGAACCAAGGCAGCAGTGGCAGAACTGCGTTTACTTACTGACTTACTTGGACTACTTCCTTACAATATGCTTTGAATGGACGCACGTGAAACGCGGGACATACCGTAGAGTAAGTTTGAGTAGCTGGCTGTCAAGACAGCACAGCAACAACAGCTTACTTCGGACGACACAATTCAGGATACCCGCCTTGCTTATGCACCTCTCTTATACAAACATATGCTAGGCGCAACATAGGGCAGAACACGGCAGAAGTTGACCGTGTTTTTTCAAGAAGTCGTCTCGGATGTGGCTTTGCGTGGAGATGCTCCTGGGAATCACCTGCTCTTTTACTCCATGTGACGGCGTGGCGCTTGATGCAGGAGGAGTGCCGACGTTTCGACCGCGGGTTAGAGAACAAGATGGGCAAATGCCTTTTCAAAATGTCTGCTGAGGGTTGATGTAAAGGGTACGCAAAGGCACCGATTCTGCACTGACCATCGCCGTTGGTGCATGTTGTGACCTGTGCACATTGCAGCATCTGCAGGCTGTACGCTTGCCAGGTTTCACGCCTTGTGGTGCTTGCACTGTGAAGTCGTGAAGGCTGATCAGCCCACTGCCGTTGCCCCAGCTGCCGGCTTCTGAAGTGCAGGCCCTGCCCGGTGATGGCCGGCCCGCGCTACGGCGTTGGTCCGCACACGTCGCGTTCTATCAGATCGCGTGGTCGTCCAGCTCAAAGTAGTTGATAAACAGTTTGACGGCCGCAAGCAAGATTTAGCACAAAATGAAGATGATCGAAGATGACAAGAATCAGCACCTTTTGCCAGCCACGAATCGAGCCATCTCTCATGCTGCTACTGAGAAAGCTTCGCCAAGATCTCACACAGAGCCTATGGAAAGAATCCCTGGAGAAGAGATGCCTGTCCGATATTGATATGTGCAGGCACTCCTGGCAAAGAGGTACGTTCTCTGCCCTGCATGCGAGGGGTTGATGCGCCTTGTCACCTGCAGCAGCCCCTGCGAAGGTTATAGAGGTCAAAACCTGGAATCGGAGCTCGCGCTTTATCTTGAAGCACGACATAGCAGGACGACACGACACTCTCTCCGAACATCTCTTGCGGAGTTGGGCACGTTCAGTGTCGCCAAGGTGGGCCAAATCGATGATACCGTCGCAGGCGAGGTTGCAGCCGGTACCGGCTCAGTCAGTACCTGCATGCACGGCACAGCACCATCACGAAAGAGGCTGTGCCAGGGTGCGGCTCTCTGCCTGCAGAACTTTGTCAGTTTGCCGCACCCATTGGCAACTGTCGGGAGCTTGATAACAAAGAATCTCGTTCCGAGCATGGGATGCAACCTGGTATGCGAGGCATACATGACTCGGAGAGACATCGGCTCACGTGCCGGCCGTCAATGCAGCCGTGGCTCAGGTCGGTAGGTAATCTTTCCAAGCGGGCCGGGCATCGGTCCGTCGGAAACATCAATGTCGAAAGCTTCTCGAAGGCCAGAGTAACCTCATGTACGCACAGGTCACCATTTGATGCAGGAATGTTGCGCACGCCTGAGGTCCGCACACGGTGTGCAGCCTGTGACCTCTTGTGCGAAACATACCTTTCCACCAACTTGGGCTTCTCCCTCGAAGTTCTGCCACTTGCCCCAGACATAGATTGTATTCTCGGTGTTGCTTCTGATAGTTTTGGGACTGAACCTTGGTTGGGCTGCCAATGCAGAGACATGCGGGGGCGCATGTGCAGACACAAAAACAAACACACTACCACACGTGCACACGCCCACATGCACGCACGCCCACATGGGCAAACTCCCTGAAGGGAATAACTAGAGTATTTGACATCACCTCTCTGGGATTCTCGGCTTGGCCCGTTGCCATACAATATTATACAATGCAGGTAGATGGGAGTGGTCAGCCCCCGTATCACAGGCATCCAGCAAGCGTTTTCGTTAGCACCGGACTTGCTCGATCCTCCGGTGCCCCCTGCAGTGAACGAGCATCTCGACTGTGGTTGAGCGTTAAGAATTCGCGGGAGGATGTTTCAGCTAAGACAAGACAATTCCTGGTTGGGCCCAACTGGTCTCAAGATTGGATGTCTACGAGGCTCAACAGCGGAGCGATGCATGGGAAACCAGCTTGGCAAGTAATCGCTCCTTTTGCTGTTGTGCTGCATCGAACACATTTGCAGAGGTAAAGATCTTGAGCCACATCGGCGGGTAAACTGAAACAGCTCTGAATATGTGCACATGGCCCCCAGCTACGGACGATGCCTGCAAACGAAACATTCGAAACACAGCCCGAAGTCGCAGGGTTTCCCCACACACGCACGCTTTGCACGGGTAACGGCGAAGAACATGTGACAAGACTCCGATAGATTGCGGCAACCATGCAAAGGGTTCATTCTCATAAGTACACAGCGAGTATGATATACGATGTCACAAATGGTAGGTACGCAGTGGTGATCAGCCATTGCATCCGCTCCAGTGACTTGACCTTGTTGGGCAAGGCTTGTCACGGGAGCCTGTGCTCCCCTGCAGACAAACACAATGTGCAGGCGTGTACACATACGCCCTCACACTTCCCAGTCAGAGGACACAAGGTCCTACAAATCCCATTGCTGCCAGGAGCGATGTGATGATCTTTTGGAGCGTGACTTTTTTAATGTAGAGCAGGATGTCATCCTGCTCCTGGACACTTGCCTGGTATCCCGAAACCTCAACAGGGGCAGGCTCTGATAGCTTGCTGCTGTGCCTCTAAATCGTAGGGCGGCAAGGCGAAGACGAATTTTGCGGCCCAGGGACTGCATCTGAAGTGTCTGGCTTGTAGCACAGCTTGAGACCATCAAGAGCTTCACCTTCCGATGTATTGAAGGCTCAACTTGGCTCAGGTACCGAGAACAAGGCAACACTGGCCTGCATACCACATTGCTCGCTTGTTCTCACCATGCAATTCTTCCTCGGATGAAGGGTCAGTGTCATGTGATGAAGTCTCAGTGCTGTAATGTGCCGTCTGATTATGGTATGACTTAGATACACTGCAGCTACACCTTACCTGCACTTTCAAGCATGATCTTGTTCTTGTGGTGACAAATAACTTGTTCCGTGCCCCTCAATTCTGATCTCTTGAGACCAGGAATCCTTTGGCTCCGTGATACTATCGCAGCTGGGAGCAAATTGGACCCGATCGCGCGGCCAGGCGCCTTCAAATTTGATGGTGGCATCCCTGTTCCTGATGCAGATAAAGAGTGCAAGGATTGACTAACACACTGATGCTGCCGAGAAAATTCAATGACGGGCGGCGCTCCGATGCATCTTTGGTCGATGGCCTTGATGTGTGGATCAAAACGGATCTTGAGACCACCGGATTGCTCGGCCCACTCCTTCGCAAAGGGTGCACCATGGTTCACTGCCACTCGGCAGGACAACGTTGCAGATAACTTCGACATGTCCGTGACTAAGTGTCAAATTGTCGGTGCATGCCGCATGCCAGTACACTCCAAGTGGCACAGCTCTCTTCTTCTTGGTAGCAAACTTTGTAGACGTTGCTGTCCTAGGATCGTCGAATCTGCGACAGGAAGCAAAGAGATGCATGCTGTCGAGACAAGGCGTGTGATAGACCGGTAGACTATAGAATGAAAAATGCCAGCAGAATACGTATGAAGCCTCTACCGCAGGCGGGAAGCATTCTGAGGAGCCACAAGGTGTAGCTTGTTGGCCTGTCAGCCCCGGCCAAGTTTCGGTTTAAGCACTTGGCCGACACATTGTCACCTCCAGTCTCAGCTACTCCTCACGCCAAGAAAAAGTGAGCCTCCTTCACAAAGCTCACTGTGCCGGGAATTTCCACTGTTGGATACTCTGTGCCATCCTAACACCGGATCGAACTTGAGCACGGAATCGCTTGCTCTCGCGCATACTTTCGGGTAGCTTTGTTATTTCTTGAGAATCATGCTGATGCTGACACTGCTGACCCGTTGCATAGAGCTGCGGACACAATGCGCAGCTTGGGGCGAAGCACACCTCGGCCAAAACACGTATGCAAATGCCACCTAGCAAGATCGGCATTTCTTAAACACGTGGCCACGACGATAGAGCCTAAGCCTTAGCCTAAGCTGTGTGATTAGCTTGCCGAGTGTCTCTGCCCGCTGTCTTCTCAGGACCATCCAGCTGTAATTCCGCCGCTTCGGACTTCTTCACCAAAGTCGGACCTGAGGCAAAGGGCAAAGGACACGTTCCCGGCGACAAGGCTCTCTGCGAGACATTGCTGGCAAAACTGAGCTGGAGGCTTATCGACGAGATGTGGCCAGTACCAGTTGGACCCTTCACATCCTCGGCTGTCTCGGCGCACGCTTGGCTGACAGCCAGGCGAATGAAACATAAGCCCTGACTGATATTCATCTGCACATTTACGGTACAGGCGAAAGAGCTGCGCTGCGATGCGACCGGCTGGATGGGAGGTGCTGGTGTCTGCCACGTACGCCAAGCCGTGAATGCCAACAAGGTTAGAATAGCATTCTGCCACACACCGCACATTTGGCAACCCATTCAACTGCACACCGGCGAGCTTGAGTAAGCTTCTTCGAAACATTTCACAGTTCTTCCAATCTCCCTACAAATGCCATTTCCCTGGCAAGAATCCAATGTCAAGTGATGTTCACCATGAACTTCTTCGTGGCCGCGCTTGTAGCACAATAGAAAGCCATCTCCCTACCAGCAGACATGCTGGATCAGACATGCAGGCATCTCTGCAAGGCCGGGCAAAGCTTCAGAGTTGGGCGACTGCCTTTTCGTTGGGAGAGAACTCGGCCGTTGCTCCCTCTCGCCCATCTTGCCTAGCAGAGAAGCACCTTTATGTGGGCAATCTCGGCTAGATCGTTCGGACAAGCCGCAATACTGTGAAGTTGTCATCAGAGACGGAGTCACAGTCCACCTCGAATCTCACCTGACACGTGCTTTCTCACGTTCACCGCTCTCACCGCCTCCAGCTTGGCCGGGGCCTTGTCACCAGGATCACCTCCATAGAAAGTAATTTCAGTAACCTGTCACTGTCACGCGCTGGCAGATTCAGCAAGACAAGCTGTGGTGAGCTGCATGCAGCGATGCCTTGTTCACCGTAATACAGGACGGCGAGATGCCGGATATCCAGGGGGTAGTCGTCGTGGTAGTCGTGGTGGTAGTGGTGGTGGTTGTCGTGGATGTAGTTGTGGTGGTCGTAGTCGTTGTGCTTGTGGTGGTGCTTGTGCTTGTTGTTGTGGTGGTCGTCGTTGTTGTTGATGTGCTTGTGCTCGTTGTTGTGGTGGTCGATGTGGAGGTTGTTGTGGTGGTGGTGGTCGTGCTTGTAGTTGTTGAGGTACTGGTCGTGGTGACTGTTGTCGTTGTCACGGTGGTTGTTGTTGTCGTCGTAGACGTCACCGTTGTTGTCGTCGTTGTCGTCGTGGTGGTCGTAGTTGTTGTAGTCGATGTCGTTGTTGGTACGATCTGCAGAGTGAGCACGCTAAGCTGCATCAGACTCATCACAGCGATTCGTGTGCGAATGGGGATGCTTTGCTGCCAAGATCAAGTTGGCACACACAGTCAGAATCTATGAAATGCCAGGTAGGTACAATGCAAACACCTCTATGCTTTGTGCATCGAGTGCTACCCTGAAGTCTCTATGCGTTACTATATGCAGAATTTCATCCTGCGACCACCTTATGCTGTTCACGAGCAGTGCACATTGCATTGAGTCTGAATCATGTCTGACTCTTCAGTTGACTCTGTGTGCTGGAATGCTCTTCCAAATCAGAACGGCAGTGCAATCGCAACAACCACGGAACTGCGCGATCCAGACTCGACATATGATCATATGCTGATGCTTGCACGCGCGGTTGGCTTGCCGCTGTAAGCCTGGACATCAAACTGCAGGACTAAACTGTCTCAGAGTGGGAATTGCTGCTGGACTACAATAGGGCGCAACACTAAGATCAAACTGCAGTGCTTGCAGCGCGCTCGTGGACTGCCGTTTGATCGTCCTGGCCGCTGGGTTTTGTGAGACGTGGCATTAGGTTGAGAAATGTCTGTGCCTCCGGCCAGCAGTCCGCTGAGCTCGTTCCAGGTTCAGGGGAGTCCAGTTGAGCACCCTCGCCATACTTGCATTGACCCTCCGAGTAGGAGCAGCATCCTCGGACGGGCTCCGCGACTTGGCTGCTCTGGCAGTGAGCCTCGCAGTCCTCCTGCAGCTCACGCATATGCTCATGTGTCAAAAGCGATGCCGCCCTCAAGTCATCACAAGTCCTTCGAGTTTGCCGTTGTAGACACTGCGATGTTGATACGAGGACCAAAACCACAGGTGAAGTTGGTCTTCCAGCTGCAACGCAGCGGTGTTGCCTGGAGATCAGACTGTGCTCAGAGTTGTTCAGCAGCACATGTATGTCTTGGACAAGGTCAGGTATGGCAGGCTAGCGCTGCTTGTCGAGACTAGCGGGCAGTGCCTGGTAGTTGTAGATGTCCTCGTCGCGATTCGACGCATACCAGTCCAGCTCCTCTGTATCGTGCATGCTGAAGTCTGAGCCGGCGTCGCGCTTGTGAAGCTTGTATACGAGCCACCCACCATCGGAAGCATCGATCTTGTCCGCCCAGGTTTGACCCCAGTCTCTGAATTCAGGATTTTTGTCCAGACTGAAGGCCCGCATGATCTCAAAAGCTGCGCAGTCTGCATCAGTCTTGCATGCATCCTTTGCTGCTTGGAGAATCTCTGAATACGAACCTGCAAAGCAAGGTGCCTACCCTTGTGACAGCAGTTTGCCGGAAGTAGGAGTTATTCCATTGAAAGAAACCCGAGCTACTGTTGCTGCTGTCAGCTTGTGATCCTGGGACCCTGGGTGCATCAAACGCTCCGGCCTTCATTGGCAAATCGCGGTATCTCTGAATATGCAGTGGTTCCGATGCCCGTGGAATAGGCGAACTTCTTAAAGCCATCAAGCGTCACCTCTGCAGGCAAAAGTGGCCTAATCATGCGACAGTAGGCATCTTTGGTGAAGAGCCGCTGGCAACCCCAAGTTCGTCCCACCTTCTGTTTCGGGGTGCCAAGCATTTGTTATGTGTTCTTGTGAGACTTTTCTTTTGTATCTAAGACCAAAATTCTGGGACCTCAGCTCGCAAGCTCCCGATGCTTGCGGCATTTGCTGCCGATCGGACAAAGCCGATGACACTCTCGACATTTAAAACCTCAGCTTGCGATCTTCGCTTCGTTTCGTAATGTGTGAATATGTGTGAAGTGCGCGACAAAATCAAAATGTGCAGGTATGACAACACCTGGCAGGCGCGACAGCTCCAACAAGCAGTTCATCAGTATTTGGCCTATGCACCGCGGCTCTAGTTGGAGGCGCCAAGAATATGCGGATATGTATATATATATATATATACAATTATATACATTTATATGTTCACATGCATCTTTATCAAGTATGCTGTTATATCAGACTGTTATGTATGTTCGTCATAGTTTATGTGTATCACGCAACGATGTGGATCTCATATGTATGTGCATACGTAGATACTAATATGTACATATATATATATATATACGTACGCATGAAGGCATGCATGCATGCATGCATGCATGTGGATCTCGGTATGAATGTGGTAAGCATGTGTGCATGCATTCACGTATATTCAATGTTACATGCATAGAGACAGCAAAACCGAAGGACAAGAGAGCGAGAGGGAGAGAGAGATGCCTACAAGCATAAGCACGTTGAAGGAACGGTTGCAGTTGTTTTACAGGGTTGACTGTGTTCAAAGGTGGCTTCAAAATTGCACAGGAGCCTTGCATCGGCATTCATGTTCATCCGTGGTTGTTGCTGTTGGCTTGTGATGGCGTGTGAAGATGCCTGCTCAAAACAGGAAAGGCTGTACAATGCTGTACAGCAAACTTGGTTCCGAAAAGCAATGCATTCTGCTACATCCGTCATTTACGACGCTAGAGCTATGCTTCTACATAGTTGTGTTATGCTGTATTCTATGTGCGAGTGCCGTGGTCAACTAGTGCGCAAACTCGTGCCGTATGGAGATGACTGTATCAGATGAGTATGAGTGAGTGCAGATGGCATAATGCTAGAAGAATGTAGAAGACCATAAAAGACTTAGACGTGTGGAGGCTGAGACAGGTGAATAGCTGACCTACGTAGCTCGGCTTGAGCGCGAGTGAGTGGGCCACTCGTGTTTCTGTTTACCATCTGTCAAGATTACGTGGGTAGGCGGCAGTGGCGGAAGCCAGTCTTTCTGACACCTGCCTGACATTGTTGACGCAAGAGAAGTCGGTGGTAGTTTTCTCCGGCGCAAGCTTCCTTAACTTTGTACTTGCCAGCGTCCATCTCCCAAAACTGGCCGTTGTTCAGCTGCTCCCCAATTTCACCAGTCTTGGCATGCTTCGTCCCGTAGCACCCGGTTTCGAGGCAAACTCGGTAGATGCCCCACTTGTGTGCAGCGATGACATGGGACACGATGCTAACCTCGTCTGGAGCAATGCTGTAGTTCTCAGGCATCTCCTGATACGAAGTCTCTTCGCAACTGGTGGGAGTTTCCCCTTCGACTTTCGCACCATAGAGCGTGCGGTAGATGTGGCCCTTCCAAGCCACTTGATCCACATCATCAGCACAAGGAGGTAATGCCTGGCCAGGCCAAGCACATCCACACATCCAAGCACATGCAACCAACCTACGAGACGAGAAACGCCGCTGACCTTCTGGAGAATGGCTCTTCGCAGCAGGTAGTTGGCTTCAGCCAGCTGGACGGCGCCTAGCAAATCCGGAAGCTTTATCCACTTCAAACTTTTCGCCTCCAAAGTTTCGGAACCTTGCCCCTGCCACTGGTCGCCCAGAATGCGCTTGGAAAGAATGGCTCCAATTGAATTCTGCTTCCCTGTCTGCTCAACTGTGAACTCATACCTTCTACTCGCAACGTGTCTGCTATCAGTTACCGGAGCCCGACTGGTGTATTTATGCTAGCTTATGCCAGGTAGTCGGGCGAATTCATAGCTGCCACATCCGCTCTCGCAGCGTCAGTCCACTCGTACCGACTCACGAACCCTCGGGAAGGAAACGGGAATTGGGCCTGGGCCTCGGGCCCTAGAACATCTGAAGAGAACATCCTTGCTATGCACTTGCAAGAAGAACCGCAGGCCCGGCACCGATTGCAGCCGCTAGGATTGTGAGAGAAGTCATCGTCAGTCAACGAACCTTGCCATGGCCATGGCATTGCTTTCAATGAAGGGGGTAATGAGCACTTCCGAGAGCTGCGGGTCCTCCCTGTCAAGGACTACAAACTGTTGGAGACGTGGCTTTGAGGGGACCTGCCGGATGTCTGCATGCAACAACTGCAACAGACTTGTCGGACATACCGTTGCCAAGCAACGAGGCAAAGGCAAAACACCCTCAAAGCTAAGGGCCCGAGTGTCAATGACAAGTGGGCGCAATCGAAGGCAAACTCAGTCCGAAACTGTGAGATCGGTTGGCAAGGCTCTTGTTTTGGGTGGGCGCTCTGCTGTTCTCTTGAAACAATTGCATGTCTTTACCCAGGTCCACAACTGATCGTAGCAAGAACAAAACGTGGAACTCGCTTGCTGCGGGCATTTTTTGCGAGTGGTGGTTGGTGAGACGAGAAAACACTCTGTCTTGGTCCTCTGCGGGGAATATTTCTTACCTGTCTGAGGGCTTCTCTTCCGATGAGGTGAAGCTTTGAAAGGATCCAAGCATGGTTGGCCGATCGGATCTGAGTCCATGGCCATGGGTCTCCACAGGTCGCGCCGCCAGGATTCCGGAAACGCTCCAGAGTCTTGAGAGCAGCCCTGACCCTTGCTTTGAGCCGACCAGTTGCACTAACTATGAGGCAGACACTTGTACACAAAATTCCTCTCCGCAGCCCTGCTAAGCAGCTCAGCTCCGATGTCGCCGGCCTTCCGAGGCCCAATCAGGCCAGCATCCTGGCGGCAATTGCTGAGGATGCTTTCTTGTCGCCGTTTTTTTATCGCACCGCGCCTTCAACGCATGACGTTGGCGACCTATACAAACTCCTACATCGGCTGCGAAATAGAGAACCTGCACGGATCACGCTATCTCAATCACCAGTATACACCAGTGCTTGAAAGCAGTGGAGCGGCCCTCATCCACAAAGGAACTTCTTGCATGTTCAAGAAGAGCCTTGGAGACCGCGGATGCGTCACTAGTGCGAGACGAATCAAGTTGAATCTGCTAAAGCTGGGTCCAGGACAAGCCTCCAGCCAAGGCAGCAATGTTTGATGCCGGCATGGTTACCTGAACGCTACTTCATGCTCAGGGACTGTGCTAGCAGCTTCGAATATCGTCGACACACCCGCAGTGCCTGGTACACCACTTCTATCAGTCTGTGGCCTCCAAAGGATTGAAAACAGTATCATACAAGCTCCTATTCGCCGGGGTTCACAGCTGCAAGCACTCTTGACAAATGCCCGAGCCTGGATACAGCACCCTGAGGTTGTAGAACATTGACCCCAGCTCCTGCACAAGTGCTTGTCTGCACCTTCCAAACAGTGTCAACCCTTCATGATCAACAGGCAGGAGAACCCTGCAGTCCAGAATGAAGGTGCCAGCAATGAAGAGTCCAAACCCCTCGGCAGTTCCGTCTCCACTTCTCAGGCTTGAGTTGGAAGTCTTCTGGCAGGCAGTGTCTCAATTCAAACCACTGGGCTTGCGCTGTGACATCGACGGCATGCCGCGTCAACATGTCGTGTATGTACGTCAGGCCGTGTAGCATTAAGTTGGAAAGTATGCGTCGCGCGTCTCGACGCGTGGCACGGCTTGCGGTAATGTTCCCGTGGGTGCAGTATTCGCCTTGCAGCCATTCATGGCAAGAGCGGCTCATTTGTGCCTGCCACGAGAACTCCGAATGCGGAATTCCTCGTCAAGTGTCCACTCTTATAAGCCCTGATCGAGCTTCCGTGCCATGGCTTTTGTCGATGTAACGCCGAAAACCTGATCATGCCTGCACCGACAGTAAGCGCAGGGGGTTTCAACCATTCACAGTGCAACTTGAGACAGTGTGTCGGAAACTCCCCGCCGAGGAAGCACAGCACAGCACGTCGGCGCAAGCGAACCAGGTATTTTAAGCGGCCGTGCGTTAAAGTGTTTTTGAGCGCGGATAGAAATCTGCGGCAGTAGCGAACAAGCAAATCAGACAGCTGCAGGAAGCCTTAGCAGGGAGCTCCTCTACTAGGCCCAGTGGAATGCTGCAGCATCGAAGCCGTCGGGCTCTTCGCTATTACCGCTTTCTTCAGAGCATCTGTGTAAGTCGTGCTAGGCTGCTGGGCCGTGCAAGGTCGAGATCCCAACGTACCTGGCCTTCGGCGCCAAGAGAGAAAGCAGGCAAGCCAAAGTCACCACATAGTGATGAACCTGCCGCAGACGTGAATCCTACCAGGGATCACGCACTTGAGATTCTCAGAGCAGCCTTCATCAGGAAGCTAGTGTTTGCCGGCATAGGGCACCTGTACTGCTCACACATTCAACATACACTGGCTCTGGCTCTCGCTGGACATCTCGTCTTGCTTTAGATCGCTGCTGTAACGCGAGGCCCCCAATTCGGAACGATGGCGCAGCAGGGCAGTGAACGTTGAGAGGTATCGCGCACTCGAGGTTTGAGCACTCCAGAAGCCGACTTGGTTTCTTTCATATGTCTAATCACGTGAACTGATTACCTTGCTTTCTTGCAGCCTGTGTCTTTCTTCAGCCCCTCTTGCCGAACTCACCTACAGTTCGACCCCAAGGTGCTGGAGTGGGACTGAAGGGTCGTGTCTTGTCGAATTGTTTTAATGGTCCTTGTGCACTGCGCCGAACACACACAAGCTCAGCGAGCATGTCGCAACGGCGGAATTCTGAAAAACGCTACCAACACAATATACAAACGCTGTAGTACTCCGAAACCCCGAGTGGCCACACAGGGCGGCCACATGCATGCGCTGTGGTGGAGCACTTGGTGGCCGGCACCGGTGTTTCTCCCTGAAAGGCCCGCACCACCACTTTGCCACACAGCCCAGAAAACAAACACACACACACACAGACAGACACACATTTAAACACACAACAAACAAACAAAGACACACACACACACACGTGGACACACAGAGACGGACCCTGATCCCCCCAACCCAAGACCCCCAACATCCCCCAACCTTACCAGCCCCACGTAGCAATGGTTCAACTTCGGAGCCCTGAACTCAAGATCTCTCGCAGGATTTGCGATCTGCTCCGGACCTCCGGCAATACCCGGACTATCTCCCAGGTCAGCCCTTCTTTCGTGCTCCTTGAGCTCCTCAAGTCAAGAATAACCCTGTGGTGAAGCTGTCCTGCGGGAATGTCTGACTGTGCCAAACAGCTACAGCTTCGCAGCATTGCAGTCTCCACTCTGGGTCTGGCACATGTCTCGGCTCTGCGATCCGAACAAGGCAAAAACGTACCTCAAATTGGCACATGGCAGGAGCCGGAATGACAACACCACGACAAGAACAAACGACTCGATGGGCCAACGACCATCCTGGCACTTGCTTGGGTTGCAAGACATACATACGAAAATGCTCGAAAATGCATGCAAGTGGTGCATGTTTAGACTGGCTATGACTGGCTGGAAGCCTTGCCTCAGATTGAACATGAGTCGTGCAGAGTCTACAGTCAACCAGCCATGCATACCATTACATACCCATAAATCCCATAAACATACCATGCATGCTCAGAGAGAGAGAGAGAGGGAGCAATTGGCCGACACTTTCCTCACCGAGACGGCTCCGCCGCTAGCGGTTAGCGAGGAAATCGGTCTCTAAGGCGCCACCGGGGGCACGCGGCAGACTTTCGCAAAGCGGGAGGAAACCGGACTGTCGACTCTGCGTCTGCTGCCCTCCAGTCACTCAATTTTGCTCTCAATAGCCACATCAAAAGAGAATTTCGGGATGTTGCGCTGGCCTTGGAATACCCGTAACAGTTGCGACTGCGCTGCACGAACTGAGGCCGTACTCAGTGTGCGCCATGTCTGTCTCACATCATTTTTGTTTCTCATCGACTTCGCCAATTTCAGAGCTCCCTGAGTCCTTCAACCTTTCAGCTATCGGCTAAGCGGCTACAGTCCGCTTGATTAAGAACCTTCGATAGGGTGGGAAAGCGTACAATTGGCAATCAATAAACATGCTGAAGACATTGCGAACTGTCTACGCGTAGTAACTTACATACAGGCTCCGCACATCGACATCCGCAACAGTACTGCAGAGGCCGCAGAGGAGAGCACCAACGAGACATAGATGGCAGCTGACGTGCGCCGGCTGTAAGCCAGTGACCTTCTCGGCAACATGTCACATGCACAACATTGCACAAGCCTCAAGTCTGCAAAATGTTCAGCTGTGAGCCCTGCTTACATCCAGACCAGCTCCTCTTGCGGCGCAGACCGACAGCCACACGAGCACCGGAAAGATCAAGGCCTGCGCTGACTGCCAGTGCGCTGCATGACGAACACCCGGCTGGGCGGCTGAGGACTCAGACTCAAGAATCTGCTTAATTACACACGTCCCAGCGCCGTGGCTTTGCAGCATTTGAGCACCGATGGGCAGGTTGCGCTTGAGCGGGTCTCGAAGGTCAAACAAATTAGCAAGGACTTCTTGCTGGAGAAACTCTCGGAATGCAAGGTTGCAGCACATGACTGAGCATTCTCTACATGAAAGACTACGAGTCATAGTAGCCGACACCGGCAACCATCAAGTCTGATCAGCGTGGCAATCAAGAGCAATACAGCCAACACGCCACACTACACGACAACACACGCACCTCGCGACCTAATCATGAAGTCTGCTGCAATGTTATGGAATGGAATGCTTCGTTGCCGAATCCAATTACCTGGGTTTTCCGATCAAACAGGCACTAACATGTGCTGAATGGCACGAGTTTGTGTGTGTGTGTGTGTGTTTCGCACGCAATACCGCGGGGCTCAGACAAGAAATCACGGCAAAGTTAGATTCCAGCAAAAATGATCAACACTGCATTCGTCTAAGGCACCTCTGATGTGGGCGCATGTGCTGATGGCGCTACTCCTGTTGTTTTGCTTCAATGCACCTGGAACAGAATGTCAGCGTGATTCCCGTAGAGCTCGCATTCTACGTCGTTTAACCTCATGTGGATTAGACCCACATGACTTGGATGCACTATGCACG